GAGGGATGAATAAAAACAGATAAAATGTGAAAATTAACAAATAACTAGGTCAGTGAAAAGCTAAGATAAATTATCAGGTGTCTCTGCGGTGCTGATGCCCTCTTGCAGGCTGTTCCAAAGGTGCGGGCGTAATGGCTGAATGCTGCCTCTTCCTTTTTTTTTGTTTTTGTTTTTGTTTTGTTTTTTTTTTTTGGTATGTTAATTTTTTTTTTTTTACTTTTTTTGGGGGTGGGTAAAAAATAGACAAAACAAAAAAAGGTAGAAGGTCAGTGAAACAATACGGACCAAGTAAAAGTATTGTCAATGTCAAATTGTTGACCATTTTCAGATTGTACAAAAAATCCAATTTTCTCCACTACTTTGACCCCTTGTGCTGTTGTAGGCGAAGCGTGAATGTCATCATCTATGCTTAACAGTTCTTAATAATGCCAAAGAGGGGGGTGCCTGCTTAAGCCAGAACTTTTTGATTGCTTTTTTTTTTTTTTTAACAGGTGGCAGTCATTATACAAAAAAGATTTTAGAAAACATGGTTACATAAAAATTCAGGAACCAACCCAAGAAACAATATCGTGAAATATCATAATTCATCCGGTACTGAAGACTTTAGTTTCAGCCCTTTTTCCCCAAAACAGACAATACCTGGACACGACCAAAATATATGCCTGGGACGATCTGCATTTCCCTGCAACATGCAACATCAGCAGAGCACAATTTTCATTTTTGCGTAAGTATAATAAAATAACAGCACACACTCTTCCAGCAAAACTCTCTCCAAATAAATGAATCCATACCTCAATATCTAAAATACCGTTAGAAGGGTATCAATTGGCTGTGTGTCATCAGGAAGTATAGCTGAGTGTCATCTGCATCACTGTGGAAGCGGATGCCATGCCTCCTGATGACGTCGACAAGAGGGAGTTTATAGTGTATGGATTAAAAAAAATGATGGACTTAAAATTGACCCTTGGAGCACTCGGTGTACAACAACAAACTCTCTGATCCACGGCAGTATATAAAGATGAAGGCTCAATTGAGCAAACTTTATTTATGCCTTGACAAATAGTGTACAAGTGCTCTGTAAATAGTTGCAACTGTTGGTAAGGGAAGCCTGTGGTTATGTATTGTTTCTAGCATAACTAATTTAACGTTAGTTCAACTGGTGTTGTAGCCTATGATTGAGAACATCCCAGAATCGCGTACACCCACTTAAAAAAATCCCCTCTACACCACTGTGTGTGTGTGTGTGTGTGTGTGTGTGTGTGTGTGTGTGTGTGTGTGTGTGTGTGTGTGTGTGTTTTAATATGACAAACACCTTAGTTTTTCATTGCAGTCTGTTGTTTCTAAAATTAGACCATCCCATAAGTCATTGAGTGAGTGAAGACAAATGTGGTTGTCATCATTGTTTGTCCAACACAGGCATTTGACACCTCTCATTGTTGCAAACTGCGCGTCCACCATCTGCTGTCGGGTCAGCGTTTTGTACCTGACAGCAGGCATCTTGTTCAACAATGTTGTGTCATGTCAAGGAGAAAAATGTGGCCTTATTAACAGGACTGAACAGTTTCATCAGCTCAGCCGAATGTTGACAGGGATTTACGACACTGAACAAGATAATGTAAACACAGATAGTGATGACACGTTGGAGTGTTGATTGGTTAGGCATATATACCAAGCTGGAGGGAATCCAGTGTGATGACCACAAAAAAAAACTGGAAAACGGAACTTACAGCATGTGCATTTACTGTAAATGATAAATGCGCTCTTGCTTGTATCGCACTTTTTCTACCTTGGAGGCACTTGGAGTGCTTTAACGCTGCCTCCTCATTCCCCTACCGATGATACAGCATCAGGAGCAACTGGTGGTTGAGCGTTTTTGCTTAAGAGCACTTAAACATGGTCACAGGTCCAGGACTGAAATCGCAACCTTTAGGTCTGGAGGACGGCCACTCTACCAGCTGAGCCACGCCGCACATTTTTTTAGTTCAAACTAATACGGGCACACAAAGGGAGCGTTTCTTTCAGGCCGTTATTCTCATACTGCAGTTTTATTGACGTGTTACATGTTCAATGGCTTTGTATTGGCGCAACACAGACAATGTGGATTAGTTTGCTCTCGGAAGGCTCACAGATAAACAAATGCGACTTTCGGATCCAGCGCTTTAATCTGCTTTTTAAATCGTAATCCGCTTTTAAAAAAAAATGCCATAAAGAATTACCTGTGAGCATCTGGGTAAATAGCTCGACGATAATGTGAGTTTAACATATTTTATCAATGTTTTGTGTTCATACAAGTGTTGGAGCAGACCGTGTGTCATCTGATCTACATGCTGATGTATTAGGATGCTGGCCAAGATGAGATGTTTGGGAAAAATCGGTATGTTAGATTACATTATGTCACATTTTCTCAGCGAAGCCTGAGAGAGCGATGTGGCCACGGGGTTTATTGTAGCCCTGCTGATGGATTGCAAAGAGAGAGATGAATTGAGTGCAATGCAGCACCCTATTATCTGATTGTTGTGCTGCTCCTCCCTTTTGTATCGTCAGAGCAGAATTATCGCACGAGCAGTCATTGGCATCTAATGTGTGTTTGGATAGCAAATTAGCCGAATGATTACTCTTCTTTCTTGTTGCATTTTATCCTCTGGCACCGAGATGGCCAAAATAAAACACGTTTTTGCTTTATATAAGGCCATTTATTTGTCGATTTTAACCCGTGTATTTATTTATTTATTTATTTTTACCCTGACCTGTCTATTCTCAAATATGTCCAAGTTGTTCCTTATCCCCAGTTCTTATTTTTCATGGATTTACTTATTTATTTTTTTTGCAGTTTTGCACTGTTGGAGAAAAATAGACAAGAAATAGAAAAGTCTTTTTGTTCTTGCGGCCCACATAGAACACTTTGTTGGTTCAGAAAATGGTGCATGTTCAAAGCAACTGGAGGCATTATATTTCAGACAGCCAAAGAGAATTTTGACTTTTGATGAGCTTTTTTTCGTATGTTCTTGAAACACAAATCAGATGAAAGTATGGCATAGCTCCAACGCCTTTGAATGTTAACTTCTTCTTTAAACAACATATTTTGGGACCACATAACTGTGAAGCGACCTCGTCTAGGTTTCGATCTCTCTCGGTCCTTGGCCTAGAAACATGAAGTCCATCAAGTAAAACCTAGTTTTCTGCTTATAGAAGAGAATCAATATGTTTGGTTTGTGTCTGCTTGATAATGACTTTTTTTTTTTTTTTAATGAAAAGATGATTAATCTCAAATGTTTAAAAACCATGCTTTTCTGCAGCTACAGTGTGTCGGAGCAACACGGTAAAGATTTTTGTGAGAAAATTTGGATTTGAATCAGTCTGTTTTCTATAAATCCATCATGTCAAAACAGCTTTGTCTTATTTTTAGTTTTGAAATTGAAATGAGCTGGACAGTGAGAGCTTTGACTTGTATTGGTACATCCACATCATTTTCCATAAAGCCATGAATAACAAATCTTTGTCCCAAATGCAGGCATGATTTATTACTGTTGCAGTCCTGACCAGAATCTTCCAGATTTACATGATGATTTCTCTCCATTTCAATCAGAACGTCCAAACCTTTTTGAGTAAACAGAATGGTTAGTAAACCACTGAGATAAGGCTTCCCCAGACCTCATCCTAATGCTATACTACCTATCATGCAAATATATTAATTGAAACACTGACTCACCGTAAATGCGAGCACTCGGCCTGTTTCCAGAGAGGAAATGGTCAGAGTAAGGGTCACTACCCACTGCAGGTGTGTGATGACTCCAGTCAATATGATGACAAGGTGCTAAATTTACCAAACAGTCGTGGATATCGTCGCTGTCATGTGAAAAACATGGATGTGTTTTTTGTCTTTTTTAAAAAATATATATTAATGGGGTATCCGCTTTTAGTTTTTCACAAGACAGTGACACTGATCACCTAATGAATATTTGCTAGTTTTTGTTGCCAAATTAAGGCCACACGTCGAGCTTACCTCGTTTCCTGCAATGGGAACCTGGCTTGGAAAATATGATGGCATATTTCCAAATTTGTCAAACATTAGATTTCTAAGATTTTATATATATATATAATTTTTTTTTTTGTCTCATTCTCAAGACTAGGCTCCAGTGTAATTGGAAAAGAATGAGATTATTCCTATGTTGCGTGAGAACGGAGATTGCGATGGGTGGGATTGTTCTAGTTGGTTAAACAATTGATAACTCCCAAATAATCCCGGATCATGCTGTTGTTTTGGGAGACTCAAGGACAAGGTCTCTCCGGCTGTAAGGTGTTTATACAAAGCAAGAAGTAAATCCATTCTGGATCGAGAGGGATTCTCATGTCTTTTTCACAAGACAGCTGCAAAGTTGCCCTATATCTGTAGGGAATGGGATCATGAATATTGTGTTAACCCAGAAAAAAAAAAAAGTTTCAATCCGTGCATGCTTCCTTGTTCCCCTGATCCTTCAGCTTTTATTGTTGCATTGGCCCATTGTATCCGAGAAGAGATCAAGGGGACCCCTGTCGGTTTTGGATTATTTCTTTGTAAAAGTGCCACTGTAGGGGATAGAGGATTAAAAGAGCAGACAGTGGATAGGGACTCGACAGGAAGTTAGTTTGCTGTACTCACTGAATTGTTTAAGTGGAGTCTTTTCTCTTAGTTGCGGGGGATGTGAATTGGTTCAATTGCGTATTCTGTGTTTGCTTCAACTAGGTGTGGTCCTGTAGGAAAATAACACAAGGGCTGCTTGTAGATGACGACTTTAATATTTTTTTTTCTATTGAAGAGCGATTCAGCTGCATCAATGAAATAGCATTGTTCTACTTTGCGCGGGTTATTTAAAGGGCATATTGAAAACCGAGCTGTCTGTTAGCAGGAATATTACTGTGTCGTTTGCAATGCCGTGTCATCCGACATCTCTAGACGAAGACAGATTGTGTTGACTACATCAGCAGTTTTCACCAGTTCTTGATATTTGTGTTTTCCATAGGAAGCCACGGACCACGAGGCTGGTCGACACTATACCCAGAATGCGCTGCAAAGAACCAGTCGCCTGTGGACATCGCGGATGAACAGGCTGTGGTTTCGGACGAATACCAGGAGCTGCAGCTTGACAAATTCAATACTGAGTCCTCCAACCAGACCACCATGAAAAACACTGGGAAAACAGGTCAGCACCTTGAAATAGCTTTCTTAAGAATACACAAAAAATGCGTCATCAGAAAAGGAATGAAATGGGAGGGAAAACATGTATTTGAGAGATTTCACTAATCAACCATGCGGGAGATAAATGAGTGTTTTTTTTTTTGTTTTTTTAATGTATTTTTAGGATGTTTTAGGAGTAATGTTTCACAGAGGAACCAGGAAACACCGTTTGTGGATGTAGCTTAACTTCCTGTAGTTGACCTCATGATCACCTTTAGACTAAAACTAATTGGTGAGTCACATTCGGGTGCTGAGAATCAGCAGTCTATTACAGTCGTTTTTCTTCATCCTTTATTGTGTTGTTTTACCTCATTTGCTATTTAAAAACATTTTTTAGTTCACACTGTATAATTAGGGCTTGTCGACGCTATCAGGCTTTTTATCCCTTTTGTTTTACGGTGCTTCACCCGAACAGCACGAGGAGTTACTACCATGTTTGCCTCCGTCATGGAGCCAAAGAAGTGTCTCCCCTGAAGGCACATGGATAGGGATGAGAGCTTGCACTTAAATCGAAGTCAAGTAAAATGAGGGAGAGAATAAAATGGGACTGGAGATTTGAACTGTTCTTTCCAGTGATCGTCATAGGGAAAGAGAGGTTCCTCGCCAATGGATAAACTAACAGTTATTAGAAAATGGCAGTTGTTTGGTTACATTCAACCTTAAGCTGCAGATGCCAATGCAAGTGACAAGAAGGAATGTACTTTCTGTGTGTCAATGTGAAGGTTGTGTATGGCTGCTCTTCTTCTCTCCTCCCTCTGGGGAATCCACAACTACATTCACCTTGATACCACCAGCAGGCTGCTGGCAGAGCAGCAGGTGGCCAACATGTGATAGTTTGGTCTAAAGACACATGAGGTGCTGCAAGAGTGTTAACCTTTTTTTTTTTTTTTTTTTTTTAAGAATATCTTACATTACATTATTATTGTTATTTATTATTGATTTCTTTTTATTGTCAATCTATGTATACCTTTTTTCCCCTGCTGTGGTAGTTTTTTTGTTTTTTTTTAAAGTGCCCTCAATAAAATTGAGGTTGAGACTGAATCAAGAGTGTACGTGCTAGTTGTAGCTATAACTGCACTGATTACTTTAGGATGATTTTCATTAACGAGCAGTTGCATTCATTTGACTGAATTCTTCCGTAATTCATTCTTTCATATTATGTGGACGGCTTTTTTTTTTAAGCTACACCAGATGTATGTGTGATACTGTATATACAAAATGTGACATATCATTACATTTCAATATGCAAGAAAAACAAATCTGGATCTTGTACATCTAAATATAACATTGCCTTTTTCTGTACCACCAAAGCCAAAATTTACTTGTTTCAGTGAAGCGAGAAACAATCACCTCCAACTGTAATCCCTTGTTATTCTTGTAAATCCCTTTATAAACACAAGTCCAGTCTCTCACTCCGTCCTTTTACAGCCTCTATGAATCATGTACAGACACATTTTGAAGCTTACCAAATCCAACTTGAAGCCACTACCGCCACTTTTCCCCCGCTCTGCTTCGCTAAATCCGTAGACCAGTGGTGTGAAAACCCTGACCTGAATTGATATCTTGCGCTTTTGGCAGTGTCTCCCTGAGAGTGCTGTCATCTTTTGCATTTGATCATAATGAGAGTAGTTAGCCTCCATGACAACCAAGGCCACTGGGACAGCTGAGCAATGCTTTGGGCTGCTTATTTACACAGATGGACATAACAGCTTTTTAACACTTGCCTTGCTGAGAGATTTTTTTTATCGACTGCTTTCCACTCTGCAAATTCTGGAAATAGTTTTGCGAGAAAATTCAGTATTTCTATTGAAATGGTTTGGCTCAAGGTGAATTTGTTCAAAATGTGCCCCTCCCCTATACGTGGAGTGCCACCAAGAGTCCGGCACCGCGTCACTGTTTTGCCATTTTGAGCCCATGACTATGCCAAAGTGTCCTTGAGCAAAACACTGAAATCCCAGTTGGTCCTGATGCTACGTCATCAATATTAAAGGCGATTTACCATGGCGACCAGCTGGGAAGTTAGAGGGAGGCTCCTACTTCAGCTCAAGCCTCAGATGTTTTGAGCCTGTGTAAAGCGCACCCGAGGCCTCGTAAAGGGCTTTGTAAAAGCATCAATTGTATATTCAGTTGAGGAGGCAGCACTTTATAACAAAGCCGCCGCATTGAAATATCAATTAGTGTGGAGCTGCGTGAATGTGGCAAACACAAATACCGCTAAGATCACAGTCACATTCTTTTACATCTCGGTTCGCCTTTTGCAAAACTACCGTGCATTAAAAAGTTGACGACACATACAGGCCGTAAGAGTCTTCATGCAATTCCAAAAGTCAATACTGTAATCAAGAAGTCAGTCTTAAAAGTTCCCTGCCATTGATTTCCCGATGCTCCCATGTGCCGGCTTTGAGATCAAACTGATTGGCCGCCAGTCAAAGCGCTCCTCAACAAAAACATTTCTGAGTCAAATTTCAAACAACTTTGCTCCAAATTCGTGGCGGATCGGATGGCCCCAGAGACATTTGCATTGATCAAGGATTTACTTTCACACACTCTCCCCCTCCTTTCGCAGGCTGTGATTCAAGGTCTTTTTGGCTTAGCTTCTAATTCCCGCTCTGCTGTTGGAGGGTTCAAATACACCCGGTAGCGCATTTCTAATGAAACTCCCAGGGCCAGCTAGCTCTGCCGCTCTTTGACTTTCCTAGTGTTGAGCACAGGATTACAGTGCTTCGACAGCAGCCGTAGAAGGGATTTATCATCTCTGTCAATATTTATGCATCTTCGCAAATGAGTTGCACAATTACGCCTGTGTGATTGGCGGGGCCCTCCCCTTGCAGCCTGACCCCCATGCTTTGATTCTTGGAAAATCTCCCACATCTAAAACCCTTTTCTCTGCGAGCTGTGCCGTAATCTTAAGCAGCACTGGCATGTTAATGCTGCCGGCAGATTTCTTTGGAGCCTCGCGACAGGCGCTCAGCTCATCCTTCATCACCTGATGCTCTTCTCTGCTCTTCACTCCCATTTTCCCTGAATGTCAACGTTTTTCAAATGCCTCCCTGCTTTCCATCACGGGGTGAGCCGTTTCGTCTGTCATGATTTCACCCGGTCTCTGTGCACAACGTGTTCTTCCTGTCTTCTGTATTGACTTGGGGTCTGTGTGTGCCTTTGTGATATGATTACAAGTGGGCCGAGAAGCTGTCTAAATCCCCCTGTAACGGGGGATCAGCCGACACAACACAAGGCCTAATCTGGCTAATGATATCAAGTGCAGACAAACTAAAGGGCTTTAGATTCAGAAATGCTTCTATTGCCGCCGTAATAAAACCACATAGGATTGTTTTTTTATTTTTTGTATTTTACGCCCCCAAATCAGAAAGCATTGTTCTTTTGTCATGGTGACGCCATTCGCCTCCAATATTGTGAATTAATGTCCAAGGTGAATGTTTTTCTCATTCCATGTCAATGACGTCCCAAAAATAGAGGAGGACTATTTTTTTTTCGAACTCAATGATGAAGTTTATGTATGCAAATGAATGCCAAAGAACACAAAAGAGATGGATTTTCGACAAACATGAACTGAAGCTATAATTACAGTCATACGTTTATTTTATCAGCAACACGGATGGCGTCTTATTCTGGCATTTGGTAACAATAAAATGCTAATACAATCACATAATCAGTGGTATTGTTTTTTAAAATTTTTTTTTCACCCAACACAGTGTTCTAAACAAACAAGCATCTCATAATTTTTATTGTTTTAGTGTTTACTCAATAGTATGACGTCAAAACAAATGTTTGCCTATTAATTTGAACTAAAACACCCAATACAACAACATATTCTTGTCATTCTTTCTTCTCTGTTTTCTGTTGCATTTTCATTTATCTCTCTTAATTTTCATTAAGTACAGATCATATTAATGGAGCAGTCCTATTCATAAAATAAGGAACTGCCAAAATTAATTCCGTCTCTCTTCGTGATTTTGCAAAACAACTTCACCAGACAAAATATGTTCTTTTCACTGCTTCATTTTTCATGAATAGTCTTTCAATTTGTTGGTATCTCTGCTGTCCTTAGTTGCTGTTCTTCTGAAGGATGACTACTTTGTGCGAGGTGCTGGGCTACCGGGCCGCTTTAAGGCCGAGAAGATGGAGTTTCACTGGGGCCAGAGTAATGCATCAGCGGGTTCGGAGCATAGCATCAACGGCAGACGGTTTCCTGTTGAGGTAAAGCATTCTGTCCACATACTCCCTTGAGGAAGATTCAAGTGTACAAGGAGAGTCAGTAAATTACCGTTCTAATAGACATGACGTACGATAATCCAACAATATAGCTGTTTGTGTTTTCTGTGCTCTTTCTGAAAGGCTCTAATATTCTCAAATATATCACCAAAGCCCTGTTTAAATAGGAAAGTAGTATAATAATTGGCCCAGAGAACGTGAATTGAAGCGACCGATGCATCACAACTCGGTGAGCTGCTTAGTTTAGCCCCGTTTGCTAGTGGAAGTTACAAGCAGTCATCTGTAAGCCTTTTATTTGAAAGAGTAACGTAGTGTTTTGGGATCCCAGCGTGTGGTATATTCCTAGTTTAAACTATTAATATTGGCAGTCCCAAAAAATTATGAACTAAAACAATGTGTGAGGGGATTTTTTTTTTCCCGCTAATTTCTATGTTGATTGAAAATGTTGCTGATTGTCGATCCTTCCTTGTTGTCATTTAGGCAAATTGAAATGCATTAATTGACTACATCCAGCCGAGATGCTGTTGTGTGTCTCAACATGGCATCAGCTGAGACTACATGTGAGAAGCCCAATACTATAGCACAAGTCCTGGGCAGCGTTACTCTACGCAATAAAACACTGGCATTGCAAAACCAAAAAAAATATACCCAAAACAACACCAGTGCATTACAATAAAAAAATAAATAGGTAAATAATAACCATAGGCAATCCCGAACAGGATTATGCAGGTCATTTTATGGGTTCTTTTTTTTCCATTTGTCATTGCATAAGTTGCTACAATGCGATTCTCTTACTCTTTACCTCCTCTCCCAAGCTCGCCCTTTTTGTCGTTTCTGTCTGTTGGATAAAACTTCAAAGTGGCTTATGTATAGAGGAAGTGCCAATTACAGTCAATCTGGGAATGTGTTTAAGCATTGCGTTGTTTACAATAATGCATGAATATGAATGTCAAATGTAAGATTTATTCCACATATCGGTATCTATAAGGCTACAAAATGTAGTGTTGATCCTTTTTAGCTTCAGTGAGCCTTTGTGGAGGGGCTGCATTCGACCTTTATGGCCTTTCTACTGATTTTAATTGAACACCACAAATTCCACTCCATTATTATTTCATGGAGTTGTTAAGAGGGTCGAGGTTTTGTGCAGAAACCGAATAGGTTGAAAGGGACATTGATTATCACTCTGGAAATGTCTTTTGTTGTTTTTGTTGAAGGTCGCAATAGACTTTTAAGATACAAAGGGACAAACGGAAAGGACAAAAAACTAGAACTCATCCTGCAATGGAATGAATAGTAATGTAGGTTGTTAGTCTGAAAACATTGCTGATGGATTATTAACAAAATGATTATTTTAATTTTTTTTCCATGTACATTGCCTTTTCTATTCAAATGAGTTTTAAATATTGAGTATTTTACAATACTTATCAAAATATTGCTGCAGTGATTGGTTATAAATAACAGGGCGTGAAAGCGGTAGTTACTGTGTGTCCCTTTCGTCTGCAGCTGCGTAGCTCAAGTCCTTGTGCGTGTCTTTCTTTAGCGTCTCAGCACACACAGCTTTTGATCCTGAATGCCTCTATAATTAGATGAATTTTTGCATTGCCATTTTGCATTCAGCGTGCTTGTATACAGCTCAGCTCTTTTGATCATGTGCCTCCAAATAAGTGGCTGCACAGTTGTTAGAAAAAGCTAAAATTGATCATAAATTAGATACTTCATTTCAAATATAGAGTTTTTGGCACGCGGTATTTTGACTGAGATGAGCATTTTTGCTTGGTAAGGGTCAGGCTTGACAGAATGATGCGTGTTTAATGTAAAACTCATAATTTACACATTATCAGGTTCATGATGTGTGGGTACTTTAAATGGCTCATTAATTTTGTTAACATGTACTGCATGTCCATAAAACACAGTAGTTGGCTGGATACGTTGCTATGGCCGTTAACGCGATAAAAAACCATCAAAATACAGTCACTGAATGGCAATGAAACAAAAAGTTTCATTCATAAACATTTCATTTAAAGTGAGCCCCAAAATGTTTATTATGACAATATGTGCCTCCACTTGTCCAAGCATTCTGATTAATATTGTGTTTGTGGAAATATGAGTGAAGCAGCAAAGTCTATCCATTTTTGGCCATCTCAGGGGAAGGCCATTTTGCAGCTTGTTGGATTTGCAGTTGCTTTAGGTTCAGGTAACAACCGGCCAAAGAATTCCTTGCAATAATTAAATGCAATATAAAGAATTAAACTCTTTGTGCACCATTATTAAAATGCATTGCTGACCCTTACGGTGTGTGTGACTTGACCACTGGGGGCAGTATAGCACTGTTATGCAGTCATAAACGAAGAAGACTTTCACCACTAAAGTACTGTAAACTGCAGGAATATTCGTCATTTTTTTGCAGAGGATAAAGAAAACATGGTCTGAGTATCATCTCTGTCTACATGTGTAGAAATAGCTTCAAGTTTTATAAAACTATCAAGGACAATCTGTGCTAGTCGTCTAAGATGCTTTACATTACGTGTTAGCGTTAAACTTATTTTAATTCACCTTGCACATCTTTTGTACTGCTATGGAGAATATGACCTTAAATGTGGAGTTTTCAGCACTCCGTTCGGCAGCCACCTCTAGCCCAGAGACGCGTAGCTCATACTGTAAAAAGCATTCAGATGTTTCTCCCACCTGCCACCCCGAGCATTAAACCACATGTACATTTATCCACTGCTGGAAAGACAAATTGTGTCGCGCTACTATACGGACCCTGCTGGCTTTTATAACACGGTCATGTAGTAAAATAAACAAAGGGGGCCGCTTGGTTGGTGGCTCCCGAGCTTGACAGTAATACAAACACACAGGCTCTTACATGAGAGTGGACTGGACAAATCGATAGACGGCCCACCTGTTTGTGCAAGCAGCACAATGAAAAATGAATCGGTTGATTTGTTTTTCCCCGAGGGTTCCATCGGGAGATCTTTTCATATAATATACTGTATTAACGTGTCACGCAGATTCGAATACTTTTACATAGGTTGCAAATCGCACCTCGGAAATGTACTGGCTTGCACCTATATACTGTATGTATATCATACGTGTAATGTGAAGAACCGTGAATATGTTTCAAGAGTCATGCATTATGAGTTGAAATGGAATTACAATAAGTCCGTGTCTTTGACACCACATCAGCATTCATCAGTGTGGCACAAGACTGATTGTTTCTTCTCTTTTTCTGAGTTGGATATTTTGCATTTGTCTTCTGTCGCTTGTAGCACGACCATAACATCCATTCAAGCTCCATCAACACAAGGGGCTAATGCGTGAAGTCGAGCTGGATTGTAATTGGGTTATTCTTAGTTGATCTCATTCCGGACATTTGACAAACACTCATTGATTGCCGATGCTAGTTATTGTATTTTACATTAATTAATATTGCTGGGTAAACATGGTGTGAAAAACAAATTCTGAGCTTTTTCACTTCCAATACAATACCGATATTGCTGCCTAGATTACTGTCCGATACTGGCAATGATACCATATCAGTTCAGTTTTATGTACTATACAATCAAGAGAAATATGTTCACCCCTCAATAGTCAAGAGTAGGTTACCGTTTAATAAAAACTTGCACGCAAGGAGAAATACAACTGCAAATCCGACGAGATGGCTGCTCTAAGAAGTCTTTTGTCTATTTCTCCTTAGGCAAGGTTTACACGCCCATGAACAGGCAGTTATCATGTGCCTCATGCAACTGGCACCCCCTCAAACACAGATATCTTCCTTTGTCTCACTATCAAGTGGAAGGAATACAGTCTGTTTTTTTTTTCCAGAACACAGAACAAAATGTGACATGTGTTTCTAGCTGTGCGGCATGGTGATCGACTGGTTAGCATGTCCGGCACACGCAGAGGTGCAGGGTTCAATTCCAGCTGCCGCCTTCCCGTGCGGAATTTGCATGTTTTCACCGTGCCTGCGTGGGTTTTCTTCGGGTACTCCGATTTCCTCCCACATTCTAAAAACATGCATGGCAGGTTAATGGTACACTCTAAATTGTCCCTAGATGCGAGTCTGAGTCGTTCGTCTTTGTGTGTGCCCTTCGAATAACTGGCAACCAGCTCGTTGTACCCCGCCTGCTGCCCGAAGATGGCTGGGATAGGCTTCAGCATGCCCGCGAACCTCATGAGGATAAGTGGATTCGAAAACGGACGGATGGATGGATGGATGGGTTATAGCTAACATACATTTTTAAATGCAAAGTTATGCATTTTTCTAATATGGTATCATCTTATTCTACCCATATGGTACTGCAATTTAAAAACAGGCTCTGTGACTGCCATCATTTTCAGGTTGATATTAAAATATATTTATTGTTTTGTATCATTAGAGAAGACGTACGTACAGGTACCAATTTGTAACATCTTACAACTGATGTTGGGGGATAGATGGAGTGGTCAGGTTTGGCCCAATTATCGCTATGTGTAATAACTGTCTTCGACCACGTTTTAAAATTTTTTTCTCTGTCATGACACAGTCAAATAATTAAATTCCTTTCTTTTGGTCGCATTCTAATCAATACTTATTATACCCGCATCTACTGCTCAATCTTGATGTATTACTATGTTATTCTCTTTAAGTCGTCGGCATGCCTTTGAAGCTACTCAAGTAAAAATAATTTCTCATCGGTGTAGCTGTACGTACAGTATGTGACACTCAATTCTTGGTGAAAATTGAATCCACTGCACTGGCCAGTTGGATGCAAAGCAGGATACGTGCGTGGGATTGATGTGAGAGTATCATACTGTGTTTAAGACAAAAACATTTAACAACAAACAGCTCGGGTAGCAAGAGTTACAAGGAATGTGAGACCTTGCCTCCCACACACTTATTTCTTATTGTCTTCTTCTTGTGCCTCAACACCTCGCTATCATGGGAAATGATGCCAAGCATGAGAAGCTTTTCATCCATTTCCACTTAAATTGGAATGTAGAATGTGGCTCTGCACACACTTTGGTCAAACTCAGACCAAAGAATAACTCATAAAATGTGGACATCACGAACAGTTCCATGGAGTGAAGGAAAGGTAAATAATTGAGTTCAAATGTTTTTTTTTTTTGTTGTGGGTTTTTTTTTTTTTTTTTTTGATATTTTTTTTTTTGCCTTTTTACACGAAATAGACTTTTTTAATGGCATTTTGTTTATGGTGCTTGTTATATTGCTTTTGTAATCATTGTTGCAAAAGGTTCATTTATTGAATTTTTTTATATCTTTAAAATATTTTTAACGTTATTTCATTATAAAAAAATATATGCTACACTAAAATGATTTCTATAATCATTTTTATCTCATGTTTTGCGTTTCTTTAAAGTAAATGTTAAAGTTGATTTTAAACTATTGTGACATTTTGATTTGGGTCAAGTATGACTTCAAGTAAAGTGCATTATTTAAAACATATACGCTCACCCCAAATATTTCTTTTCTTTTAATTTAAAAATGGCATTATCACATTTTTTTAAAAAATCTCAAAGACATACAGCATGTTCAATTATAGCATAATAGAGTACTTTTGGTGGTGACTTTCTTTCGATGCTGAATTTAGACTGAAGAAGGCTCCTCAACCATCCATTGTGTTTCTAGTATTTAAGGTCTTCATTTAATCCTGCTGGCTTTCAGCACATACAGTCGAGCCCAATCCCGTGATCATGTGGGTTTTTTTTTTTTTTTTTTTGTAATATTTTGTTTTCTGCCTTTCAATTTGCGGTTACAATTTGTTATACCTCTTGGAACGATAGAGTTTCTTCGGAGTGTGGTAAATGCATTGATGAATGCACCATGCCGGGAAAAAAAAAGTGTGCGTTTGGTTTGACCACCTCGGTCGGCAGCTTAAAATCAACACATTAAATTGAACAGGAGATTAGCATCAGATCATGAAGACGGACGGCGAAATGAAGCATGCAGTCATGCAAGTCAAGCGGCGTGCTTTCAGCAACATTGACTTTTAAGGCCTGCTATGAAAGTGTTTTGTGATTGAATACCCTGTTTTCCAAAGTACACTTGTTAACAAGTGCGGGTCACAGAAGCCCATCTCCGTGGCTGAATGAAACCCCAAGGGGGCCCTTTTAATTGTGTGATGCGGTTAATGCCATGTGACAGCTAAAACCTGGCTCGCTCTCCTTCTTGCAGCCTTCCCAGACAACAAATTAGTTACACTTAAGGTGCAACTGGTGGAAGTCACCTGAATTTGGTTTGACTCTTATTATTCTCATTTACATCTCATTTACACAACCATGGATCCCAAATATTTTTTTTTACGTATGTCTCCTCTACTTTTTGCATGTTGTCAGCACTTGTCGGCCACTTGCAGCACTTTTAAAGTTTTCCTTTGAAAGCTGTGCTCTTAAATTAAATCAACATCTAGGACCTTTTTCTTATTGGCAATTAACTTGGTTCAGTGACATGAAAGGCTTTTTCAAATTAAAGAATCTCTAGACTGCGATGACGGATAGGTCCAATTACTACCTTTACAATCATTTGCTGATTTTGATCATCGTCACGTGTCATTATGTGTCTGCTCGGAAATGAAAGCAATCAAATTCTTTTTGATATCAAATGGAGGCTTGTCAGGTGTTCTATGATGGTTTTCACATTACAGCCACACTTTTTAAGCTTTGTTGTGGAACCAGAAACAGTGTTGCGGGTGATTTAAGGTAATTGGGAGCACTGATGAGAAGCGTTTTATTCCCTTAGATCTGCCTGCAGGAAAAGAGCACATTCCTTCCGACAGCCTTGCCTGTCTTTGGAAGCACTGTAGCCCTGAGGAACGGGACGTGGTATTTCTTAAGCATCCTCCAGCAGTGGCGGAACACAAAAAGGAACGGCACACATTATAGGAGATTTATGGCTGTGATAAATACACCCTTTTATACACCTCCCAAAAAAAAAAAAAAAAGCCTTTCATCAGCTTCCCAGTAGTGTGTAGTGTGTGAGAGGAGGGATTTATGAGAGGACAGTTAGTTCTCCTTGTCCACTCCTCAAGCGATGTATGCTCTGTCTCCCATCCCAGATGCAGATCTATCTTTACAATTCCGATGACTTTGACAGCCTCAGCGCCGCCATCAAGGAGAGACGCATCATTGCCGCCATGTCGGTCTTCTTCGAGGTAAAGCACCAACAAAACCATAATGTGACAACGTAAAAAGCTTGTCGTGGCTTTGGAATAGGCAAACCCCCTTCTGATTGAAAAGCACACAAAAAGCCATGTTCCATTTTTAGGGCCATATCATTCAAAGTGCCACCCACGTCAAAGCCTGCTCGGAATGTGCCCTTCTTTTCCATAACATATAGTGACATAAAGGTAACTGTGCCAATATGCGATACATTAGGAGGTCCTATTTAAAAAAGGTCGACACAGTTTTAAGAAGTGCCTCCGTAAATTGCATTGGTCGAGTCCTCTGAAGGCTGCAGCTGATGATTTGGGGCACTGCAAAATGCTGGATGTCCTCACCTGTCTGTTTATGGTATTACACTTGCACTTTGTTCAAATTACTTTTTAGTTGACGCTGCTCACGCCACCATATGTGTCTTTCCGTGTTTCCCAACCTTTATTGAGCCGTGGCCTCCAATATACATTCAGAGGCAATCTCATAGCGCACCACTAAACAAAAAAAAATATATTGTACGAATACTGAAATAATACCGATCTTATCTCAATTTACTCACAAGTTGACTTTGTGTAAAATTTGAGCCTGTTTAGTTGAAGGCAAAGCCGATATACTCGCGAGAGCCTCTGACTTACAGTATTCTGTTGTATGAATGGCAAGAGGTGGATAGACAAGTTTATTGTACCTTCTGCCAGCTCATGGAAGAGCATTTAGTTGCTCTGCCCGTCACAATATGTCGCTGACATTGATGGATGAAAAAAGATATATATCTAGTTAATACATTTTTTTTAGGAGCAGTCAAGTGAAATTGTATAGTTTAACCCGTTCAGGGACAGCGGTCACTACAGTGGACAGCTGATCCTGTTATCAGGTTACAGGGTGCATGAAAGGGTGTGTTCAGGGTATGCCATCTAAACTGCACCGTGGCTAACTTAACGTTAACCCTCGGTGGAAACAAGGTAGTCCTCATTTTTTGAGATAGTGTGTAAACCAATACATGGAATCAATTAACAGACAAAAGAAAATCTATTAAATCAATTTCAATGCTGCACCGCGCTCCACAAGAAAATTGTCGCTTCCACCAGTTTGGTGCTTACTTACAGAGACGCTATAAAGTGTTCCCTCCAGGTCTGAACACACCAGCTCTTGATATATCACACCGGTCCTAATTTCTACTTACTGTAAGAACACCCCCGAGATTTATGTACCTCGGAAAAGCATTCACAAGGACTGACAGCTTCGGGGGTCTGCAGCGGTGTTACACACTAATTTCTATTAGCCGTATTTGTGCAATTGATGTTAGGTGATCAATGTGCACTAACGTTCCGCTTAATGGCACACAGACAAAGGTCAGTGATCCGGTGGAGGGGGATTGGCGGGTGAGGGGTGAGCTCCAATGAGGACACAGGTGTTCTCAATGTGGGTCTACAGTGATGGACTGTGTCTATAGCAGGACCTAAATGCCTTGGTTGGATCCTGACAGCCCTATTGCTTACTGCAATTAGCACCCGCATACACATTCCGCTGAATAGCATTTTACTCAGCGAGGGGTTTTAGTACACATACACGCATGCATACACATCTGCTCAGATTTACCATTTCTAATCAATGAGAGGAGTCTTCTTAAGCTCCCCAAAGGCCTATTAATGGCCTCTAAGGTGTGTGTATTATCCACATTCAGCATTCACTTCCACGTAATTATTCTCCTCAGACTGACCTGAATTAATGTTAAGCATGGGAAGATCAGTCCTTGCTTCCCAGCTTCCCAACACTTTTGTGTGTGCGCGTGTGTGTGTGTGTGTGTGTGTGTGTGTGTGTGTGTGT